AAGGATCAAGGGAAGGGTATGTGTACCCCGAGTTGACGATTTGATCAACACTATTCTGACAGAGGCTCATAGTTCAAGGTATTCTATACATCCTGGTGCAACCAAGATGTACCGTGACCTAAGGCAACACTTTTGGTGGAGTAGAATGAAGCGTGATATTGTGAATTTTATTGCCAAATGTTCAAACTGTCAACAAGTAAAGTATGAACACCAAAGGCCCGGAGGAACACTTCAGAGAATGCCCATTCCTGAATGAAAGTGGGAAAGGATTGCAATGGATTTCGTGGTTGGTCTTCCAAAGACAATGAGTAAGTATGACTCTATTTGGGTGATTGTTGATAGGCTAACTAAGTCTGCTCATTTCATTCCGGTCAAGGTGACTTACAATGCAGAGAAGTTAGCCAAAATCTATGTCTCAGAAATTGTTCGGTTGCATGGGGTTCCACTCTCCATCATATCAAATAGAGATACGCAGTTTACTTCCAAGTTTCGGAAAACATTGCATGCGGAATTAGGTACTAGGTTGGACCTTAGTACCGCGTTCCATCCTCAGACTGATGGTCAGTCTGAGCGAACGATTCAAGTGTTAGAGGATATGCTTCGTGCATGTGTGATAGAATTTGGTGGTCATTGGGATAACTTCTTACCCTTAGCAGAGTTCTCCTACAACAATAGCTATCACTCAAGCATTGAAATGGCCCCATTTGAGGCACTCTATGGGAGAAGATGTAGGTCTCCCATTGGGTGGTTTGATGCATTTGAAGTTAGACCTTGGGGTACTGACCTTCTGAGGAAATCGTTAGATAAAGTGAAATCTATTCAAGAAAAGTTGTTAGCGGCTCAAAGTAGACACAAAGAGTATGCAGATCGAAAGGTTAGAGACTTGGAGTTCATGGAGGGTGAACAAGTCTTGTTGAAGGTTTCACCAATGAAAGGGGTGATGCGGTTTGTAAAAAGGGGTAAACTAAGCCCAAGGTATATTGGTCCCTTCGAGGTTCTGAAGCGCATAGGGGAGGTGGCTTATGAGTTAGCCTTGCCTCCAGGGCTATCCGGAGTGCATCAGGTATTTCATGTGTCTTGAAAAGATACCATGGGAATGGAAACTACATTATCTGTTGGGATTAAGTTTTGCTTGACGAAAATTTGTCTTATGAGGAGGAGCCTGTTGCTATTTTAGATAGAGAAGTTCGCAAGTTGAGGTCAAGGGAGATTGCATCCATCAAGGTGCAATGGAAGAATCGGCCGGTTGAGGAAGCAACTTGGGAGAAGGAGGCCTATATGCGAGAAAGATACCCACACCTGTTTATAGATTCAGGTACTCCTTTTCGCCCTTGTTTTCCTTCTTCTTGATCGTTCGGGGACGAACGATGGGTAAATTTGTATCTATTGTAACGACCTGTTTAGTCGTTTTGAGCAGCAAATTTTATTTCTGGAAAAACAGGCTGAGGCGACGGACCCCACGACGGACCGTCATGGGCACGATGGACCGTCGCAAGGTCTCGTTTCAAAACACTTAGAAAATCTGAAAATTGAGTACTGAAATCAACTCTCTGAACTTCGTAACGGAATGGCAGGACGGACCGTTACAGGTGTGATGGACCGTCACAAGTGTGACGGACCGTTACAGGTGTGATGGACCGTCACAAGTGTGACGGACCGTCACAGACTCTGAAGTCTGTGACGGAGCAGCAGGACAGACCGTCGCAGGCATGACGGGCCGTCGCAGGCTGCGTAATCCCAGTCTGGGTCGGATTTCTTTATACGTTTTAAGGGACGTATTTGACTATTCCTACTTTAATTATAAAGTTAGTGGTTTAATGTTAATAAGTCTAATTACTTGGGGGTTAAAAGAGGTAACCTTAAGTTAATTAGTGGGTTATTATTGCCATCTTTTATTCTTAATTATATACTAATTAGGGTAAAAGAAAGAGGGTTTGAATAAAGAAAATAGAAATAACAAGAGAAAGAGAGAGAAAGTTGAACGAGAAAGAGGAGAAACGAAGAGAAACAAAGCTTGGGAAATTGCTTGCTTGATCACTAATCTTCGGTGGAGGTAGGTTATGGTTTTCATGCTATTCGTAGTAAACTCTTAATAGAGAATTATATGTATTGATAGTATTGTAAACTCTGCTATGTGCTTAATTGTATGCTTGCATGAACGTGATTATATAATTGTGATTATATTAAACATGATGAAGTTATTGAATCCCAAATCTTGATAAAAACCTAATCTTTTTTTATTGATGATGCCTTGGTAAGGGAGAAGGCTTGATGAATTGATAGAATGAGATTAGGGGATCGGGTGTCACGAACCGACACGTAGAATTAGGGGATCGGTTGTCACGAACCGACACGTAGAATTAGGGGATCGGGTGTCACGAACTGACACGTAGATTTAGGGGATCAGGTGTCACGAACCGACACATAGATTTAGGGGATCGGGTGTCACGAACCGGCACGTAGATTTAGGGGATCGGAGTGTCACGTTCCGACACATAGTAGTAGGGGATCGGAGCATCACGTACCGACACAAGAGGATTAATGAATATGAGGGAGCGGAGTGTCACGTACTGACACAAGAGGAATAAAGATAATGAATCTTGAAAGATGTTAATATACTCAATCTAATGAATCTAATTCCCAAATGAGTATGGTATGGAGGCTTGAGTCCTCATGTGTGAACTTGACGGTAATTGTTAATGATATAGTACTTGCTGTTGCTACATGTTGTGTATCATAGTTGATTTTATGATATTACTTGGTATATATTGATTTCTATTTTGAGTTGGCCGATGATATCTACTCAGTACCCGTGTTTTGTACTGACCCCTACTTTTACGTTTTCTTCTTGTTTATTTGTGG